GGTACTAGATGTCAACTGAAAAGGATGTTATGCGCTAACTCTTGTCAAACAGCCCTTATTTTCTTGTTTTAATACTATAGTTTTGTGATGCAATACATGTGGGTAATCGAATTTTCACTAGTCCCTAGTTTGCATGATCTTTCTCAACTCGCTCCGCCAGCCCAGCTAGCATCGGCACTGTTGTCGCATGATCGAATTTGCCCGCGGCCCAAATGATCATTCGTTTCACGGCCCCCTTAGAGGTGATGCCGGCACGGAGCCGGAGATGTACCGTGGTTTCCACCCTGGATCCATCTGTGCCTTCGATGTTGGACTCATGGAGAAGAATCGCCCACGTGATCCTCGAACCATAGCGAATGCTCGTGTAGACCAGCGAACGGGGAGGATTGATGCTGACAACATTAAACGAATCATCTTTACTCAGGCCGTAGTCGGGGACTCTGTCGCCGATTTTTAACTCTTGGAATTCAGGTTTGATTGTACGAGCCCCAGCCCAGGATTTTGGTAGAACTCGTTCCCATCGCTTCGGGAGGTACCATCCGCCGCGCGACTTGCCGAGCTGAACGACCCAGGGAAATATTTCTTCAGCTGGAGCCTGCATGGTGCGGTACTCGTTGAACATCATGGGGGCATCCGGGATGATGTCATCCCCGGGATGTTTGGATTGGTTCACTTGGCTCATGTTGAAGGCCTTCGCGAAGCAGCAGCTGGTGCGTTGAAGCGCTGTACGTGAGGAGTTTCTGACTTATCGATATGTTTCCTTGAAGTATGTACTGCAGTTGATAGTTCTTCTTAAGCAGATGTGGAGGCTGTAAGTACCGATGCACAGTTGCGGGGAAAGGGGACCTCGAAGTAATCCCGCGTCATTCGCTGCTTCTGCACGAGCCATAAGACGGCAATCAGTGTAGCAATACGGAATCTCCTAAATACCGAAAGCCGCGAAAGCCGCCATGAACTTTAAGTGTACCTGTCTGGGATGATCCATGCTCAGACCCTTGCTGCTGAATATCGTGAAGCTGTCCAGTTGCGTTGGCTACGACCTAGTCGGCCTAGATGATTCTCTTTCACTAAAACTGAAGAGAAAGATTTATAAACATCCCTCCTTCTCTGTCTTACACGTATCTGGAAATAATTGGATAATTGTTCGTTTTGGTAAGGTATTGGAGCCCTCTCAAGATTCCCTCGCCGAGTGATTACGCATGTCCTTTTCAATATTGTTTCTACCAATCTGCTTGACGACTGATTGTGTGCCTCTTTTCGAGATTTGTTCTACCTCGACTGACATCCCGACCAAGTTGGATGCGTACAAGACTAAGTTAAAGAACACAAGAGCGATGATATTCGGGTTCTTATATTGCGGCGCAGTATGTTCAGACATGGATCTCAAGATAGATAGTATCATTTTTTTTTTGACGATAGGTAGTCATTTCAACGATGTTCTCTTTGAAGTTTTCCATAAAGACTTAAGGTTCATTAGTTGAAGTGCGTGTATCTCTTTGAAGTTGACTTCCTGACGGTCACTAGTTACAAACTGAGATAGGAAGGTCCGACAAATGTGGTCCGTAACAGCCTGTAATCCCTGAGATTCCCCTTTTCCACTAAGTACCAGTATCCTGGGAAGTTTTGAACATCGCCTGCTAGGTTGCGCGACCAGGCGCTTCGAAATTCAAGACCAGACCCCACTTCTCATCCAGCTGCGTCTCATCGAAGTACCGTGTACACAAGTATGCCCAATGCCCGGTACCAGTTGCTAGCCGGCGGCAACCTCTGACATATTCACGTATATGCTCATTGGCCACCTCATCATCGGTCCAGGGAAGACGGGCCACAGCATCCTCACACGCTGCATAATGCTTCCTGATGAGACTGATAATCCTATGGACAGACTCATGAACCGAAATGTTTTCCGTGTTCATGAAGAGGAGGACCATGTTCTCAAGTTGACCGACATGCTGCGTTGCAGTCAGATAACCTGCGTAAACAAGATGGAAACGCCTGAAGGATCAGACTTACAAACTCCTTTTGCACACTCAGGATTTCATTAATCAAAATGGACAATCTCGTATACTCTGTCGCAATTGTCTTCATTGCTTCATGATATCTGGTGGAGTCTGGCAGCTCGAAATCCATCGCGAACTCGGTTTGAGTAATGGAAGGATAGACACCAATGTCGGCGATCCTAATTTCAAAATGATACCAAGGATCGGGCAAGTGCTCGTCCTGCCTCACTGCTTGCTGGCGGGCTACACCTTCGATGTATTCGTGCAGCTCCCTCCGCATTCGCTCGATCGACATTGGGCCCATTTCCTGTCTCATGGCTGTGAGCACTTCGTACAGTACTGCTACAGTCCCTGGAGAGTCAACTGGCGGGGTGAAGCATGCTTTCGCAGGATCAGGGTGGAGGCAGTGTTCGACACATTGGAGTGTCAAATCACAAATGTGGCGTGTCCCGGCCGCATCGGTGGTGAGTTCGCCACCTGTGTCTATCTCGTCGTCAAACCAGAATATCTGAGGGCACATATTTCTTTAGCTCATGTTCTTGAATTCGACAGAACAAAGATTAGAACAAATGGACTCGGCGATATGAATTACCCAGTACTCGTATTTTGTCAACGTCAATAACTTCTCCTTCTTGCATCTCGAGTAGAACACGCTTGCCATGATTGTGTAATTACCCTTCGTCCGATGTTTAAGTTTCTTTTTTTCGGGAATATTCACGCTGCTCGTGTACATGTTATTGAACCACCCTTTGAAGGCCCCAGGCAGGCGGCGAGGTTGACCAGCCTGGGTTGGAGGAGGGGGAGGGGATAAATTCAACTTGCCTCTTCAGCCACTGGTCAAGCTCTCCATTAATCTCGTCCAAAACATCCTGGGAGTGAATTTCCTTTGGCCACGCAGGCATCAAGCTCATCAAATTTACTACGTGGACCTCTCGTCCTACACATCGTCTTATGAGCCTGTCGCGTTCGTATGCTGAGGGGGTTGAGCCTGAAAGCTTGTATTCGGTCGCCTTTGAATGGCTCGTAACAGGTGGCACAAATTCATGCCCCGCGACGATCACTGGGCTGCTGTCGGATGACAAGTGTGATGGATTCAGCGCCATGATGATGATTCAGACCGAAGTGGCTGGAGTAGGTGCAGATACGACCACAAGAATAACCAAGATGGCACGTAAGTGACAACATGAATGCAATATCATAGGATATAAGTTATATTAAAATCACTGGGTGAAAATTTATCAGCATTACTTAAGTGATTCGGAAGCTGGAGACTGACATATCCATCGAGTGCCGAGCGGCGTCAGCACTAGTGTGAGCGGAGTGACCGCGGATCAGGTTCTGTTTGGATTTATTTTAGCTGTTTATAAAAAACTCTTATCAGGTCGAAAGCAGAGACGACCAGAGATCGGCTACATTGATGCTATTCAGCTGCCAATAATTATGCGGAGAGGTGGGTCGAATGATAGACAACACATTCACCTGTCCCAATTGATCTCGCCGTGATCCACTGATCCCTTTTGACTTGCTTACAATATTGATTCATATCTGTGATCGTGGTTTGGAGCATGCATCAACTACGTCATCAACCGAGGGTTTGGGGACTTCGGGATGACTTTTGGGACTTTGGGATGACTCCGAGAGTTGGAGGGCATATGATGCAAACATCCTAGACTATTGAGTACCTCTAATCATAAGCAGCCCATTGGTTGGACATCTACCTACACATATCCTAGTGACCTTTGCTATTAGACGTGGGCACCGGATGTCTTTTGGCTGATCATTTGAAACCCGTGATTATTCCTCGGTGCACCGAGGTAGTCACTAGAACGGACCAAGCAAATGAATCGTCCACAAGCAAGAAGTGAATCCACTGTTGATAGTCTCATAGAGATTAGTATAAATTATAGGCCACAGATTCTCTGTTAGAGCTTTGCTATCCGGGCAGTGTCCAACGCACAGAACCCCTTGTTTTAAAACGATCAAACATCCTATACATGCTGTTGTTGTCACTATTATCACCGTAATCTATTGTCATCGTCTATCGTCGTCGTATGTCGTCGTATTCTATCGTCTTTGTATATCGTCGTCGTCCATCGTGAGATGGAAGTATAAGTATACTACGAAGCGGGCACTGCCCGGCTAGTAAAACTCTTCTACTAATATGTTCGCGCGTTGAGCACCCGAAGTTAAAAGCTGCTCGCGCTTTACGTACCGAGTTGGAATACCTTGGCTTGTCGCAAGAGATAGCCGCTTGGTACCACAGGATGCTTCGTCGAGGCTGGTTCGCATGCCATCCAATCTAGTAAGGCACAGAAGACTGAAGTGAGCACATACCAAGCCACTATCAATGTTTCTGTTCGCCCGGTTTCCTAGCGGCGGCTTGCCGAAGTAGTTATTTCACGAATCGCGCAAAATTCAGCAGAGACAGTTGTCTCAATTCAAGTTTGCTTGGGTGGCTGACGTTTGCCATTTAAGGCAAGATAGAACAAAGAACATAACAGGATGTCTGACAGGACAAGCCGTCTTGATTCCAAAAGAAGTAAAAGTCAGCCTATTGAGGCTTGACTATGCTTACTCGGGAAAATAAGACACTCAGACGCCGTTTCTTCCTTGGTTGACGACCATAGACATCTCCTAATTCGCCGCGGGATGGCTGATAGCCTTTTTCCGCCACCGAGATTTGTCTTTGAGACTCGTATAGACAGCCCACCGACTCCGAGATTGGTAAATGGTGAGCTGGGCTCATCCTACGGGATCTGATTCAAGTCTTCTTGGCACACTCTGCGATGTTGATAGGGCGCCACACGGAAACCGTATCACCCACCAAATAATCACGGTTTGCTTGCTCTTGGCCATGTGACTTGAACGTTTGGTAACAAGGAGCCATCCATCATTATCTCGCTCTCTTTATAAGACAGCCAATTATCCCCGCCATGGTCCGCGGACATCCTCTTATTCACCCTCGCAACCTGTTCTTTCATCACACTAACTTCAACCGCAATGCGTTTCCCAACCGTCCTGATCTCCTTGGTGGCTTTGGCCAATGCAGCCGTTCCCAGCTGCTCGAGCTTTCCCAACTCTGCAGTATGCCTCTAGTATGTATGCTAAGTATTGCATGAAGCCTAATCAATGTCCCCATAGTGCGTAACCACATGCATACAAAACACCGGCCTCGACAAATATGCCTGCAGAAAAAGCTGCCGAGAGACTAAGCAGTCTCTTTGCTCAAAGAGCTGCAGCACCTCCCAGACTCGCGAGCTTGCTGACGGCGAATCCGTTGCTGAGAAACGTCAGATTACCAGTCCAGTACGGTACCCCGCGACTCTTCTTATTTAACACCAACACTGATAACCCAGAAAGTGTGTCGACCTTTGTCTAGCCAGACCTGAATGCGCTGAGGCGCGGTCCGTCATAACAGGCGATGGCTCCGCACCGGCCAAGTCGTTTGATAAGCGGCAGTTCTCCCCAGTAGGTCACCAACTCAGAAGTTTGAATATCTCGGTACTGAGACTGTTCAAAGTGCGTTCAGGCTTGCCTTGAGGAACTCGGTATCTGGGATGGCAAAGCCCGTTCAATTTGCAAGGAACAGTGTGGCGAAGCCAGAGTCAAGAGAGAACCGATTTCTGCCCCGGTGGCTGCTGCGCCGGCGGAGAAGCGACAGATTCAATGGTCTGAGGTATGTATCTCATTGATGGAGGGGAAACACAAGTAAGTGGCTGATGTTGTGTCAGTGTGTTCTTGCATGCGTAGAGGAACTCGGTATTCGTGATGGGAAGGGATACGTCTATTGCCAGAGACAATGCGGCGAGCGTGAATAGGCGCTACTGTTTCATCAGTGTTTAGAATACGACGGAATACTGGGCTCGATGGAAGTGGAATTGTGGCCAATATCACGGCTTCAATTATTGTCTGCCCATTTGTAATGAGACTCCATCGCAAGCACAAGATTGTGTGGTGGAGATGACTTTAATAATGCATGATGGATTTCGGTTTTGAGCTGAAATGTGACTAGTAAACCGTCTCTTGGTGTTTCGAACTCACTGAACCTTGATACAAACCTTGCCAACATGTGCTCCAGTTGAGAGATACTCAAAGGCAGCAACCACCTCATCCCGCCCGAATCCGAATTCCTTCTCTACGGGAACCTTCAATCCGCGAGCCACCACGTATCGTGTAACCTCCTCCAGGTGCTGTCTAGATCCGACCATGATTCCACGAACAACAGCTCCCTTAGACAAAGCCAGGGCAGCCACGTCCGGCATCTGATCCTGGGGGCAGGACGCGAGGAAGCCGATTACGGCGATAGATCCTCCATATGCGACGGCATTGATACTTTGGGCAATCGTTCCAGCGCCTCCGTTCTCGAGGATGAAGTCCGCTCCCTGGCCTTTGGTGATCTTGAGAACCTCATCAGACCAGTTAGGCTTTGACTTGTAGTTGATCACATGGTCGGCTCCGTAGGTCTCTTGGACGTATTTCAGCTTGGAGTCAGAGGAAGACGTGATGATGGTAGTCGCCCCAGCGGCTTTGGCTAGCATCAGTCCGGTAATTGACACGCCACCAGTTCCTGCAACGCAATCGGTTTCGCAACGCTCAATCCTCGCCTGGTAGAACTCACCAAGGCAGAGAACGGTCTGGCCCGGCTTAAGCACGGTGTTGCCGTACAGTGAGTTCCACACTGTAGAACCAGTGCACACCAAGGCTGACAGCTCTGAGTAGCTCAACTGCGAGTCCGATGGAACCTTGACCAGAGCTGACGTAGGCAGGACGATGTATTGCCTCAGAGCTCCATCAAAAACACCTCCCAGGCTATGGTCCCAATCTTTCATCGGGCCATAGAGGGTGCTGAGATCGAAAGCCGCGACAACCTTGTCTCCCTCAGCAAACCCATCAACATGTTGCCCAACTTTCATCACGTCGCCGGCGAGGTCGGAGCAAGGAACAACATTGTCTTTGACAGGGAAGGGGTACTTTCCGGTCGCGACAGCGAAGTCGCGGAAGTTGAGAGCGACACTGCGAATACGGATGAGGACTTCGTAGGACGAGGGCGACAGAATAGGCTCAGTGCTAAGTTGGAGGTCCTGGATGGAGTTGCGCTGAGGTAAACGGAAGACTTGCTGGGACGCCATTGTTTAAGTCGCGGAGCCAAGTGTCAGGATGGGCGTTGCAAAGGTTATGATGTGAAAATGAACGGAATGTTCAGGTTATTGCTGTGGTTTCTCTCAACTTTGCGGGGTTTATGACCGTATTTAAAGCTTCAGGCTTCAAGCTTCGACCACAGGCCTTACTTCATATCTGAGAGATGGATTTATCAGCAGCCTGTGGGAGATGTGAAAATCGGACAGCCTACAATCGATGGCATGAGCTGATTCGGTCGATTAATCAGCAGTAATTCTCAACCTTCTTTACTGTTCGCCTCGAATGCAGTCGTTGCCCAGCTGGTATATCGGGCCGAGCGAAGCTTGACGTCACAGGCGAGGGCCAGAATGGAATCACAGAAGTTGAATCAAGCTCATACTTCTGGTTTTTGCGATTACAAATAGGCTCAAAAATCACTCACCAATTAGAGAAATCGATCGAATAGCTGTCTTCAAAGATTCGGGATCAGATGAAAGTCAGATGGATGAGGAAAAGCAAGTTTGAGATCGAATCTAGAGCGTGTGGGTCGAAGTAGGGATCCATTGACAGTGTGGAGTCAACCAGTTGACGAAAGTGTAACCGCAAGCGCAAGCGCCCTAGTGCATCGGGATACTGGGCGCTTGCAAACGCAAATCCATGCTACGCGCCTGTTTGGTATGGCGATCTATATGACCATTGGGAGAATTCTGGCCGTCTTGAACAGCGACAAATTTGATGTACTGGCTCTCAAATCTCCAAGTGGTCCCTCAAGTCGTTCATGGGCCGGTGGGTACATGACATATTCAAGTCACTGTTCATGCAAGTTTGGCTCCAGCAGACGCCTAATATTGTGGAAAGGCAACGACCCCCAAATATGGGGACTTTTAATGCTTGAGAAACGCAATGAATTAAATACCTAATGAAAAAGTAAAATATCTACCAAGGCACAGATGCCAATGAAAAAACTGTCTATCCCCACCAAATGAATTGAAGTAATCAAAGAAAAGTTTCCCAGTATGTCTATAGACAAGGCTTGACTGCAGAATATCGTGCTTCTGTAGTCTCTCTTTTTGATCGATGCCTTTTCCAACTTCTTAGTTGTACTTGTATACGGAAAGACGGTCCGGGGCACCACACAGTTCACCAGAGTTACCGGTGCACTTGTAGTAGCACTGGCTCTCATCGGCAGCGTTCGCAGGCTCGCCGGTACCACAGAAGCACTCCTTGCCGAACTCAAGACCAAAGTACGTAGCACCCTTGCCGTTGTTGCAGAGGCTAGCGCACATCTCAACAGTCATGTTGTTGTCGTCAGCGAAGTGGTCACCATCCAAAGCACGGCCGCCGGGAGTCTCCTGGGCGCACTTGACGTATGAGTACTGGGAGGTGGAAACGGAGACAGCGAGAGTTCTGCCAGTGTTGTAGAGATTCAGGCGGTCCTTGGCACCGCAAGTGTAAATTCCGTTGCCGAAGCAGGGAGTGCCGCACTCGGAGTCAGACACTAGCTCGAGATCGAGGGAGTAGGTGTTGGCGCAGTAGCACTCGTTGCCATTCTCGACACCGAAGTACTTGTAGTTGGAGCAGTAGGACCAGCACTTGTAGGCGTCCATGTCGTCGGCGGTGAGTCTGGAACCAGTCTCGAGGAGGCGGAGAGTCTGCGTGTCCTTTGCGCAACCGGTGTAAGTGAAGGTAGCTCGGGGATCGGTTCTGACAGGTCCAGGCACGGTGCGAGCATAGATGTTGAGACGTCCACCCGAGCCACAGTAGCTCTTGGCATCTCCCGAGCAGCGCATCTGGCAGTCGGCCTCGGCAGCGATGCTACCTCCGTGGATGGTGCTGCCGCAGTAGCACTCGCGGCCGTATTCCACACCAGCGAAGTTGAATCCCTTGTTGGAGCAGTACTGTCCACAGTCCTCGGCCTTCATGTTGTCAGAGGAATATCCGTCCTCTCTGAGGGCACGACCTCCATCGCCCTCAGTGTGGCAGTAGAGATAAGACCAGCCGCGGTTGTACAAATCCTTCACGGAGGGTCCGCTATAGCCGTCGGTTTGGTAGAGATTGAGACGGCCCGGGCCGCCGCATCTGGAGTGATCGTCCATGCCGTTGCAAGGCATGTTGCAGTCGCCAGAATCAGCTGGGAGAGCAGAGTCGGTGAGGACATCACCGCAGTAGCATTCCCTGCCGTACTCAGTGGCGAAGTAAACGTAATCCTTGCAGAAGTCGGAGCACATCTGGGTGCTCATCGAGTCAGACGAGAAGCTCGCATCCTTGAGGGCACGGCCGTGGTCTCTGGGGGGCTCTGAGTAGCAACCCTTGTCGGCGAAGGTTCGAGCTTGAAGCTGTCCTCGGGGCTGGACCTGGACGGCAGCGGCAGACACCAGGGGTGCCATCAGAGGCATGGCCATAAGGCCGATGCGGGAGAAGGTAGCGAAAGACATGGTGAAAACGAAAGTCGATGTCTGAGTATTCAACTCGAGAAATGAGAGTGGTAGTGAGAAGGTGAGTAGATGAGGTGATGAGTGGTGGTTATCTCGTCATTCTAGATCGGACATGCTGATGGTCTTAAATATCCCGATGTAAGATGATTTCAGAGGAAATGTTTATTGGGTTGGAAGCCGTCTCCAGCCCTGACTCCCTATCCGAAGCACCTGGACTGGATTGTTCCCCCACATGTGCTGAGTGTCTTGGGCTGGAACAATTTGCCTCTTGGATTATGCGAATCTATTTCGACGCTAAGGATCCCAAGTGTTTGGTTTAGGTCCCTGGAAGCTTCCCCGCCCTACAGCTTGAAGATTCATCGTTGGGTCCAGCTTGGTTCCTTGTTGAAAGCCTTTCCTCTTTGGGGCAGCCCCCTCACAGCCCAAATTGTCACCACGAGTGGCAGCGGCGCCAGCAAGGCGATGAGAGGCCTTGGAGCTAGCCAAAACGCCCCCTAATCTCCACGCGAAGAAATCAACGGCAATGCACGAAGAACGCAATCTGTGGGCTGCCGTGTGTTCAACAACGACTTGAACCATCTCGGGCCTAGCTGCAGCCACCAACTTGAGCCAAGCTGCGTTAAGCTTACTTGCCAAGACAATAGGTTGTTTTTGAACGCCATGTCGGCTTTGGTGCCACGCGAGGCCAGAACTCGGCATGTCAAGTCTGTCACTGCCGGTGATGATCGTAGGGTCTGGCCCATATTTTTCTGTTGCAACAACATGGGGGGGAAAGAGCGAAGTGCCGAATTCCTAACCAACGACGACTTCAACTTTCGTGAGCAGTCATGCCCAAATGGCTGCAATCTGGTCCGGCAAGAGTGCCAAAAAGGATCTACTATCCAAGACTCAGCCCGAAAAGTTAGAAACTGCGTGCGTGCATGACATATGCCAAAGGCTGCCGGTCCTTGTCGTTACCAAGCCCTCGGAACATTTAAGCTTACCCAAAGTCTCCGCTTTACAATCAGGAAACTTACTTTTCAGCTCCGCGAGCGACCACAACTAGGTCAACGCTATTGAGACAGTTCCTGGTCTGCCCCTGACTACGCTAAAGATTCATCGTGAGATCCTGCGACTGTGCGTCGGACAGCGAATATCGCTTAATTGATTGCTTTGCGACCAGACACACGCCACCCCCGCGAGATTGATTGCGGCTCGTGAAGCCAGCATGGAAACTCGCTGTCGCCGATTGGCTGGCTTACGCGGGAGAGTATGTTCTCTGCGCCCAACAGATTAGCAAGATACCATCGATGCCGTTGCCGTCCGGCTAAACGGCACTCTAAGGCGGTAGTTCCTAGTAATGCAAATAGTGAGGAAAGGTCATATCCGGCAGACTGGGTTCTGCGATGAGGCTATTCTCAACACGATCAGTCGGTACTCATAGTAGTAGCACTAATTAGTGGGCAAGGGCCTTGGCGATTACGCGTCAACTGCCACTCGTAGTAAACTTGCGATGCTTCAGCCAGCCCTACAGAAAGGGGTCTGTCTTGGCAATGAACCCATATGTCTTGCGTTTCAACATTGTGAACGTGACTAGCTTATGGGAATTCATCACCCGGCAGTTCCCATTTTCAAAAGTCAGTAAGCAACGGCTTCACGATGGCAAGCTCTCCAAATCCCCGTCTGCCAGAGCTTGAAGGAGTAAAGACTGCATCACCGTCGACTACATCTCGCCATCACAGCAGCATGCGGGGTCAGCGAGGGATTTTCTCGTGTGCTCAAGCTACCTTGACATGACCAGTATGGGCAATGTTAAGCGCTTTTCTTCCGCCCTTTCTTCCGTCTCCGTAATTGTTGTCCCGGGGTACCCCGCACGTTACCTTGTTTGGGGACACCGCATCGTGGGGAAATGCAACATTGTCATCACTCGGGACACGAGAAGTGCAGATCTATGTGGAGAAACTCGTGAAAGCATCCAAACCACGTCTTGTTCGGGGAAACAAGCGGAAAAGTCCGATCCGTCCCATCCATTAATTGCAGATTTTCCAAGCCCTACTGCAGGCCGTTCTTAATTTGTGGGCTCTAACCACCCGAGTCACTGAGTGGTGACCGCTTTGCTCACCAATTCAGCGGCCGAGACTCCCCGATTTGAAAGTACGGCTTTACGCGTATCTTTTGGCTTCCTTTTGGGCAGTTGCATCCCTCATGATTTCATCTGGAGTGAATGAGGCAACTCGAAGAACTTGCCAAGTGTTGAGTCCGATGGCAATGCTAGCATAAATAAGAGACGAATAGAAATGGCATGAAATCTAGGCAAGCCTACACTTTGACAAGTCTTTTCCAGGCTCTGTGTCGAAAATGGCGACTCATACTTCAAAAGCCCTTCTTTGGGCCCTTTTTTTCCTCGTCTATGGTACTTCTCTGGCACAGGAGAAGAAGTGTGAGTCTTCCAGATATGGAAGCAAGCCTCGTGTTTTTGTTCTTACAGATATGAGCAATGAGCCTGACGACCAAATGAGTCTGGTTCGTTTCCTCACTTACGCCAATGAGTTCGATATCCAAGGCATTGCTGCGACCACATCAACATGGCTCCCAAGTCGTACCGACCCCGATACCATCCGCGAAGTTGTCCAAGACGGCTATGGACAAGTCGTTGATAACCTCAGTGCGAACGCTCCCGCTGATGCTTCATATCCATCGACTGAAGAGATCCTCTCGAAGATTTCTTCTGCTCACCCGGTATATGGACTTGAAGTTCTAAAGGCCAACAACCTCAGTGACGCTGCTGCCAATCTCGTCAAGGCGACCGACGACTCAGATGCCCGTCTTTGGGTGTCTGTCTGGGGCGGTGCTGCCGTTCTGGCTGAGACTCTTCAGTATGTCTCCAACACTCGCGATGAAGCTGCAGTAGAATCCTTCGTCGGCAAACTCAGGGTCTACTCCATCTCAGATCAAGACGATGCCGGTTCATGGATTCGAGCCCAATACCCCGCCTTGTTCTACATTGTGTCGCTTCATGGATGGAGTGAATACACCCAGCCAACTTGGATCGGGATCTCTGGAGAGGAATACCGGCACTTCGACGTTGGTGGGCCTAATTCGGCAATCGTCTCCAACGAATGGCTGCAACAGCATATCCGGATTGGTCCTCTTGGAGCGCATTATCTCAACTGGTCATTCATCATGGAGGGAGACACCCCTGCCTTCCTCCCTCTGGTCCAGAACGGATTGGGTGATATTGACCACCCGGAGTGGGGAAGCTGGGGCGGCCGTTACGTACAAGTTGACGCACCCACTGCTGCTCACCGCTCAGTGTATTCAGATACCGCGGACTACGTGGAAGGCGCGGATGGCAGGGCATATTCTAGCAAGTTCGCGACCATTTGGAGATGGAGAGAGGCCTACCAGTATGACTTCGCTGCGCGCATGCAATGGACCATCAATGGCAACTTTGAGGAGAACAATCACCAGCCTGTTGTCGTCGTGAACGGATCTTGCGGGCCATCGGCGACCGAACTGCCTTACAAGTTTGGCGACCAAATTGTCTTCGACGCCTCCGAAAGCTGGGATCCTGACAATGATGAGTTGCATTTCGAGTGGTTTCACTACCGTGAGGCCAGCGCAAGGGATCTTGAAGGGTTCAGTATCCCACTCGTCAGCAATAATCTCAACATCACCAGCTTGAACTCCGACGGCAGCATTGTCGCTGTTGAGCCTCAGCGTAACCAGGTAAGGAAATCATTGCAACCAGCCCAAAAGACCAAGCTGACAAGATTTTGCGGCAGACGATGCATCTTATCTTGTCCGTTACGGACAACAGCGATATGCCTTTAGTTACGTACCGAAGGCTCATCCTCAAGCCGAACTGAGCGCTATCGAGACTAGAGTTGTCCATTAGGGTGATTGTAGTTTCATGACCATAGGAAATACAGGATGGCCTCTTTAAAGCGCAGAAAAACACTGTCCCAAATCCCCGACGTGGTGATGCTGGACTGCAGAGTGATGCGTGGGTGGTATTTGCTCTGTATTCAACGGCTCAAAAAGGGTTCTCTATTCAATTAAGGCGTGAAAAACTCTAGAAACCCTGCCTCGGGCTGGAGACGGGCGCTCTGCAGCCAGGACTTCATTCAACCCCTCAGTCATGTCAATTTCATCAGCCTCCTTGAACCATACGTCTTGACTAAAATACGACCGATGGCCCAGATATATGACCAGAAACACCGGATCGCCGATATAAGCAGTCAAAAAGTCCCCTACAGACCACTGCCCCGGGAGGAACACCTGAAATCCATTGATCAGCATCAAAACCAATGCACCAATCGTCCCCGCCCACATTCCCCAAGGTTGCGAGCGCGATCGATACGGAGATTCGACTCCGTGGAATTTGACTGCCTTCTGATACCTGAGGTATATCGTCCCACAACAAATCCAGCTGATGAAGCCAGCGGAGTTGGTGATGTTGATGAGCCAGTTGAAGACAGTGAGACTAGTGCTGGAGAGACTGAGGTATGCGAGGGGGCTGAAACTGGCGCTGGCTGCTACGGCAGAATAGGGTAGACCGTAGTTGTTGCATCTCTTGAATATGGCCGGGCAATAGCCAGAGAGTAGAGGTTCCTGGATGCAGAGTACAAAAAAGCGTTACCTGCGGTACACGCCGAAAGAAGGATCAGCGCATTGACAATGCTATCCAACACAGGAATACCAGCGTTGCGGATTGCGATGACGAAAGGTGAACTTGCGGTCCCCGAAACGCTCAGCCTTGGATCGTCGGAGGGACATACAACTCCAATACCTAGGACAGTCGGCATGAATAGGATGATTAGCCGCCAGAAATAACGTTTTGCAGCTCGAGGCAAGTTCTGTCTTGGTGACTGCATCTCACCGGCTGTGACGATGAGCTGCTCCGGGGCTAGGACGAAGGCGAACGAAGCCAGAACGAAGGACTGGAGTAGGGCAACGAACCGACCGATATCGCCTTCCTCCAGGTAGGTGTTCACTGGACCAGGATCTTTCCAATACCTAAACCCCAGTCTATCATGATTTGGGCCTCCACCGAAAAATAGGACGATTGACAGGAAGATAAGACCAAGGATTAGAAGGATCTTCATCCCAGCACTCCAAAACTCAGCTTCTCCGAAGAAGCGCACCGGAAGAAAGTTGAGGGTGATAATGATAATAAGAATGACTGTAATCCAGACAGCTGGATTGACGGGAGAATTCCAGAAGTCGATCAAGAGCGTCGAGGCAACAAGCTCGTAGGGTACCAAGATTCCGAGCGAGTACCAGTAGAGATAACCCATCGCGAAGCCGAGGCTACGCGAGACATACTTGTTCCCATAGTAGCTCATGGTTCCTCCAGGCACAGGCAGGTAGGTTGCGACCTCTGCGATCCCGGTCACAATACCGTAAACCAAGATAGAGAGAATGCCGTATGAGACCAAGAGAAATCCTGGACCACCAACACGTAAGACCTGACCTGTGCCTAGGAAAAGGGAGGTGCCGATAGCGCCGCCGATGGCGATCATTTGCGAGTGGCGAGGCTTGAAACCACGATGGGTTTCTTCGTTTCTTTTGGGCTCTTGAGCGCCATCTTGGATGCTCTCGACTTTTCTAAGTGTCTCTTCGTGTTTCTCAGGCAGTGAGCCGTCGCTTCCGAGGGGCGCCTTGATGGGGTCTTGCTCTAACGACGTTTGCATTATTTGCGAGGGGACAGAGACTGAGGCGGAGTGGTATAAGGGCAGTGATGGAGCAAGTATCAGCAAATATCAACGCGAGATGCGTCTGGAGTCGAAACCCATCGAGTATAACACAAGTACAATAGTTGAAAATGAAGGGCTGTCAGTGGGATGACAGATTTTAATGTAAGAGTCCTTCCTCGGAGTGAGCAGGTCAAGTAATAGGACCAAGACTGACTCAGACGAATAAGATAGGTCTTAATAGTGTAGGCTTTTGACCAAAGATAAGCCACGCCCTTGATACCTCTCCGTCCGTGATATCAGACAGTGCAAATTATGGCAAGAACCGCAAAAAGCTGGAACTACCCATGATCTATCCTGCGTGACTGGCAATCAAGACATCTTGGATCATGACTCCGGCTTGGCTTGCGTGTCCCATCCTAGCAAGGGTCCAATTGATCTTCATCCATCCCTATCGCTGACAGACCAAAAACCCGACATATCTCCAATCTCTCCGCATGCTTTGATGCACCCCACAGAGTCAAGCATCAGCATTTAATCAAGTGCTGCAATTGGCGGGCGCTAACGGCGGCCGCGCCTGAGTCCTTGGAACAAGCATTAAGCTTAGATAAGGAATTTCCAGGTGAGGTCAAATTGCCACCAAGAAAACGTACAATCCTACTAACTGGAAGTAATTACAATCACGATCAGGACGTCATTGAGTTTCCAACAGATGCTCTCGCATCTTAGTTCTACATCAACTTGTTTCTACCGCCACGACACTCTGCCGACAACAACGAAGCAAGCTTGCAACATGGCTCATCCATTTGTTACTGACTCCAACGTCTTGCACCGCAGCTTTTCTGGACTTCCGGAAAGAGTTATCTCAACTTCGGGTGTAACTCTCTTCCTAGACTCTGGAAGGCAGATTCTCGATGCCTCTGCCGGCCCTGCCGTCTCCTGCCTTGGTCACGGACGCGATGAAATCGCCGAAGTAGTTGCGCAACAAATCCGTCAACTAGCCTACCTTTACTCCGGGGCACCATTCACATGCGACGCAACCGAGAAATTGGCCTCGATCCTTCTCAGAAATCGACCCGGCGGCCTGTCGAAAGCCATCTTCGTTAATTCCGGTAGCGAAGCAACCGACGCTGCGATCAAACTTGCGACGCAATACTGGCACGAGAAGGGACTACCCCAGAAAAAACACTTTATCGCGCGAAAACAGAGTTATCATGGAAACACTATTGGTGCTCTTTGTGTATCTGGGCATTCATCGCGGCGAGCGATGTATGGAGAGTGGCTTTCTGACAACGTCAGCTTTGTCGACCCGTGCTACGCCTATCGTCTGAAAGGCATTGGAGAAACTGACGACGATTATGTGCATCGTCTTGCAAATCAACTGGAGAACGAAATTCTTCGCGTTGGATCCGAGAACGTTGCTGCATTCATCGCAGAAACTGTCAGTGGAACAACACTTGGTTGTCTGCCTGCTGTGCCGGGCTATTTTAGGGCTGTGCGAGGAATTTGTGACAAGTATGATATTTTGCTCATTCTAGACGAGGTAAGCATCATATTTTCACCGGTATGCGATTCGAAGATTCACAAGGTTACTGCATAGATTATGTGCGGCATGGGCAAAACTGGAACAATGCACGCCTGGGAGCAGGAGGGGATCTCGGGCCCAGACATTCAGACGGTCGGAAAAGCCCTCGGCGGAGGCTTCATTCCCCTTTCAGGTGTCTTTCTCCGTGAAAAGATATTTGAAGCGCTAGCTTCAGGTTCAGGTGGACTGGCTCATGGCCACACCTTCCAGGTAAGCGTTGTGTCTTGTGTTTCTGGTTTCGACTGGGATACAGGCTGACATGCCCGCCTTCGTAGGCACACCCAGCTGCATGCGCCGCGGCGATCGAAGTTCAGCGGATTATTCGAGACGAAAACCTGCTCCAAAATGTTTCCGACATGGGAGCAGTGCTAGAAACACTCTTGAGAACCGAACTCGGTGATCTCCAGCCGGTTGCTGACATTCGAGGACGTGGCCTCTTTTGGGCCGTCGAGTTCATGAAAGACAAGGAAAGGAAAGTTTCCTTCTCCCCCGAGTCTAAGTTTTGCAACCAGATCGTCGACCGAGCTTTGGCGCTGGGGCTGAATATCCTGGGGAACCTGGGCACGACGGGGGAGGTTCATGTGGAGCATGTGATAATGTCACCGCCATACATTGTCACTAAGACGGAGTTGCAGCGTATGGTGAGGATTTTGAAGAGTGCAATTGAAGATGTCAGCCGGGACTTCTTTGAATCTCAGCATCCTCGGCCGTAGCTTACGTATAGCATCAATACCAAGGCAGCACGAGTTAGCTGAGTCTCTGAAATAACATAATCTCTCTATCCTCCATGTCTCCTGGCGTCACAGGAATATCCTTTTGACGAGACGTCATTAAGTATTTGACCATATGCTACTGTTTGAATCTTTACGTAGAGGCTCGTCCATATGTGAATCTTTCTTCCCTTCTAACTTTTCTGCTTCGTCGCAGTTTGCCGCCTGGAGGTCGTCCATATGTGACTCGGACAACTGCACGCAAATAATCAAATCAATTTTGCTGGGACAAATACTTGAAAAGCACGTTCTGTCCCAAGCATCGCGGATAACGCAACGCAGAATACCGCTATCAGCTTTAACCATCACTATTATCAATAAATTGGCACATTAGCTAGTGCTCGACTAAGAACTCGATGGCGTAGCTTTTGCCTGCTAGCTAGTTGAAAGTTAGCATACCCCTGATTACTTTGGCACCCCCAATTTGCCTCCTGCCTGCCCCACCCCGCCGTTGGCGCCGTGCATAATGCTGTTATCCGCCCTCCTTATCAGGACGACGCGCTCATCAATCCCCCTCACCTCCAACCTCTCCCATATCACCACCGCCCATAGCGCCGAGAACTGCCAAATTTCATGATCATCCTTCTTCTTACTCTTATCACCGACGCGAGACGAACATCAGCCCGCCCGTCACTGCCCCTGTACTACTGCATCCGCGCGATGCCACAACCAAGAGATGGGAACAAGAGAGGTGGGTACACACGCCAGAGACGCGGGTGTGTGACATGTCGACAGAGGTATGATAATGTTCCGCTGTTCAAGTCCTGATCATTCATGCTCAGAGATCCAGGAAAAAGAAATGCGACCAGGTGTACCCGATTTGTGGGCACTGTTCACGCCTCAATCTGGTTTGCAATAGAGAGACTCCGCGGCCTCTGAAACCTTCCTCTTCTCCCTCCAAAGACCCAAGCAACACGGACACCGAAGATGTTCCTGTGATTTGTCACTGCCGTTCACACAAGGAGATCGTTCGTATCGCACAATTATGCAAACCTCTAGACCTTGTGTCTACTGTCTCCGGCAATGCAGAGCCCACCAACCTCGTTGCAAGTAGGCGATCGATGTTACGATATTACACAGTCACTCTAGCGTTTCTTCTCACGACCAATCTAGAGAACAATTGCTTTCTATCAGGTTTGTGTCCTTTACTGATTATGGGTTAGCGTTGTCTCTGACGATCACTAGTTCTCATGCCGATGGCTTTTGAGTGTCAACCTCTGATGTATGCCCTGGCGGCTTCGGCTTCCTCTCACTTGGCGTTGCGGTCAAGTGAGTTCAAGGATGTCGCCTTGCGACATCGAGGATTTGCCCTGAGCAAGCTTAACACAGCGATGAGAGACTCCGAGCTATCTCCGGAAATGTGTCTTGCAGTGACCATGGTTCTATGCTCAATGGAGTCGATATCAGATGCGACAGATACTTGGTATCACCATCTCGCTGGTGCCGCAGCTGCCTTGAAGACTACGCCTTATGGGGGAAGATTGGATCCTGAGGCAGAAGGCGTATGTCTATCTTCGCCTGAGGGTAAATGGCTTCTTCGGAACTTTGCCTACCATGACGTGTTGATGAGTGTCTCTATGGACTGCCGACCGTTTTTAGTTGGGGACTATTGGCTGTCCGAGGACAATTCCCTCGCAGACCCTTACTTCGGATTCGCTTCGCGGGTTTTATTTCTTATTTCAGAAACCAGCGTTCTAAACGCCGACTTCGTGGGGGCGAAGCAAGCGTCTATGGAAGAAGATGGCGTAATTATTCCCGATACTGCTGGCGGCGATGGCAGTGAATTCGCTCGATCATCATTTTCGGATCGTGCTCGCCTTCTCGAAAGTGAACTGCGGAGTTGGAGCTGTCCATCAGGAGATGAAGGCTCGCCTCTGACTCAACTAGGAGAGGCCTATCGACATGCGGCGCTGATACACCTGTATCGAACAATCAGGCGACATGTTCGTGGCTATTCTGGGGTCCTCGGAGCCAAGATCCAGGCCTGTGTGAAGGAGATCTGCGATCTTGTGGGTAGAATGCCCGAAGGATGCTTGGCTGAATGCACCCTTGTCTTTCCACTATTCATTGCTGGCGGGGAAGCGCGGGACACAGAACACGTCGAGACTATTCGAGAAAGACTAGGAGTGATTGTGAAACTGCGCAGATTTCGGAATGTTGAAGCTTGCGTTGATGTTCTTGATGAAGTGTGGAGACTGCGGGCTTCGGGGTCGCGGAGTCCCGACCAGGACAAGGTTGACTGGTTGGATATCGTTGAGCATCGCGGATGGAAGCTAGCTATTACATGATACCTATTGAAACGAATGCGATCTAATCTGCCTTCTTTGCTTCTAACGATCGCATCAACTCATGAGACAAGAGTGTCCTCTGGCTCTCCGAAACAAACCCGATGAATTCTAAAGATCGCGTCACTCTGCCGCCGTTGCCGCCGTTTTAGAGAAACACCGCCGTTAGCGCCACGCATACGACGAGATATCTAGTAGCCAAAGCTGGTCTTATCACACACTACATTATGACCTGTTTCTTCTAGGTTAGCCAAATTAGCTCACCATAATTTGCAAGATATTTATCACTGTCTCAAGCACGCCACCTCTGTGCAGCTTTCTCCCGGCCAGACACCACATCACCAACATCACATCAAGATCATCGCGTCTCCGCCTTTTAATTCCACCTCTTCAATATCGTCATTCAACCCTCGTTGTTCAGAACGACTGTCATGGAAGCCACGACACAAACCGCTACAGAACCTAAGGCAGACGATCGCCCCGATCAAGCCGCCGTACCATACCGCGGTCCTCGTCTTCCTGCGGTTCCTGACGATCTGGTCATTCCGGGCATTTTTGACATCGAATGTGACGAACGTCTTTGGGTTCCGCAGGCCCCGGGGGTCTGGTTCCGTCCGCTCCTGTTTTCCGTCTCTGGAGGTTACTTCGTCAACATTCTTCGCGTCCGCCGCTCTGGTATCCTCTCTAGACATCGTCATGCCGGCGCTGTCCATGCAACAGTCTTGAAAGGCAGATGGCACTACCTTGAGCATCCATGGTGGGCCACTGAGGGAGGCTACGCATATGAGCCTCCGGGAGATATTCACACGCTCGAAGTGCCGGACGATGTAAAGGAAATGGTCACGATGTTTCATGTAACGGGAGCGTACATTTACGTTGACCCAGATGGAGTGCCTGTCGGTGTGGAGGATGTTTTCAGCAAGCTCGACAAGGCGAAGAAGCATTATGAGGATGTCGGGCTTGGGGCGGCGTTCGCTGATCAGTTTGTGCGTTGAAAGCGGTGGGGGTTTTGTCTCTTATCCAAAACAGTTAGCCCCGCTAGAATATCTTTCAATTGCAAGAGCCCACTAGAGCTCAGTAATTCAAACAAGAAGCAAATGCAAAATATGAGACGTCAAGGACAGGATTCGAACCTGCGCGACCGAAGCCACTGCCTAGACAACTAGAATGCCAACCGGAGTCAGATGTTCATAGCAGGGCAGCCCATTAACCACTCTGGCACCTTGACATGGGTGCTTTTTTGATGGTGGATAAAGGACAGAGTGTCATTATGTCCACGACTACCACTAGTTGTGTCGTAAAAGATGCAAAAAGGAATTCGACGTTGGCCTGATTCGAACAGACGCTCCCGAAGGAACAAGATTTCTAGTCTTGCGCATTAGACCACTCTGCCACAACGCCGGATGATCCCTGTTGCAGATCGCTACTGAGAGTGGAGATGCTGTGGTCAGCCGACATTGGCGTACTCGATCCTGGGTTGACACTGGACTCCCGTTGTACAGGGAACGAAGCTCATTTCTACACCTTAATGATGGAGATATCTGCCCGGAAAATCCATGGTGAGTTGCTGTTTATATACGATACAAATCTCCCATGCTCAACACTGATGTATCGATGTGTTGGGTTTGAATTCGCACTAACAGGTCCTTGAATCAAGTGCGTATTTTCGTACCTTACTGTGTGCTGCATTATGGGCCCACATCGTGTTTCTGGGCTTCCCTTCATAGCCCGGTCGACAGCAGCCCTTTTTTGTTTGTCTCCCGCGAAGTGAGATAAAAAATGCTGGATCTTTGCTCCTCAAGGTGCAGAGCTAGTTACCAACATGCATGCCAAGATCTCGCTCTCCGCGGAACTACATGGTCGGCTTGGCTGCTGACATGCCAAGCACAGCTGAACCCTTGCCACAAAAGGCTTGCGCAGCAGATGCGAGTGCGAGAGTCTGGATGTGCCATGATGTGCGTGATTGAAAGTACGACCCCTCTATATATACATGCTCTACCATCCATCGGTATGATGCGTTGCATGTGAGCCTTTGCATCACTGAATGAGCTTTACCGGCTCTTCCAAAGACAATCGAGACAAAACCATCATTCAGACCCTCTCCTCTTCCGTTGGGGACGATCTCTTGGGACTCAACGTTTCAACTTGCGTTGAAAACTCTCTACGTCTATGCTATTGGATTACATTAAGCACGATGAGCTCCGGGTTTTTGAAGGATGGAAAGGAGCTCTGGTCCAAGGCGACCTCCGGTGTTGTAGATCAACTCGTTCGCGAGCGCGACAAAGCATTTGTCAGAACGAGCGGCACCATCCCCAAACGAGATGACATAGTCGATGACATTGCGAGAGCTTCAGCCTCTGGAATTGGCTTCTTGTCGGAAGCCGCACATTATCGACGAGATCGCAAACGCCCAGAGGCTTCACAAGAACACTCGAGGTCCCCAGAACTAGGACAAGAGTCCCACTGCGAATGTGTGCATGAAGCCATTTGGGATCTTGACGAGGTCAAAGTCGGTTCTGGGACACAACTCAACTTCAATACTGGCAACACCAAAGACGGGGGCTCCAAGCCTGTGAAAGAGTTGACCGACCTAGCTACTGCATTTCTCAACAGACATCCTCTCAAATCTGATGACGGCATTGACACCAAAAGCGGAATCACGATGCCGGTTGTCTTGCCACAAAGACGACCTAAGACAAGAGTTCGGGGGTTTGTAAGAGCCTATGCCCCGGTTCTTGCTACCGCGGGTATCGACGAAGAAGCATTCTTGGACTTCATCGACACCCTCAACAAGTCCTTGATACCGAATCCCTACCTTTATGCCATCAACCTCGCTGGGCTTGCCGACATCATTACACCGGACCCCGCTCTGACAGCTTTTGGGATCTTGCTGGGCATCGCCGTGGAAGGCGTCATGGAAGGTCAAAGTCGCTTCAAGTCCAACAAGTTCCTGGACCGGATGAACGCGGACTTCTTTAGGCCGCGGGGTCTTATGTGTTTCGTTGCAACTTGGAGACCCGACGACGTTTCCGGGAAGGTGCCTGTCGACTTCGAATGTAAGACAGCTGGTGAAAGTCCCTCCGTTGAATTCTCAAAAGGCGACAAAGTGTCTCCGGATGCAAGCTCATCTGAGAAAGAGAAGTTGGGCCACATTAAGAAACTACTAGGAGAGCGGTTGAGATCCCATGACCATATCCTCGATTGGTCCGAACCAGCACCCCTTCTGTTCCCCGCAGCTAGCGAACTTGTACTGGCACAAGGCAGAGATGGACAAAAGAAGAAGAATGGCCTTGATCGGGCGGAGATTTGGCTTGACGATTACATGGATAAGAGAGCTCAAGTCGAATGGATAAACGAAAATCCAGAACTCTCGGCAGCCAAGGCGCTACCTAAAGCTGAGTTCAAATCACGATACGCTGATCCGACTCACCCAGCCGCCAGCGGAGACATTGTCGCCCTGGTTACTGGAGGGCGATGGCAGTACAAGCGAAAACAGATCGTTTCTGAGGAAAATGTCGAGTTGGATGCAGCACAAAACAAGAACAAGATCGAAGATGAAAAGCAGATTAAGATTGCAGACGCAGAGAACGGAACATCGAAGAGCACCACGGAATCGGAGGCACATGTTCAACCACAGTTGAAACAAGAGCAGCATGATGTTGACGAGTCAAAAGAATCAACGGAGAAGAATGGGATCATCTTCATTGGGCCGCTCACACTGAAGGGCATGCAGAAAGAAGAAAAGAAAAGGCGGAAAGAAGTGGAAAAGGCAGCTGAGATTGAAAAGAAGGGACGAGAAGAACAGTCAAGGAAAAAGAAAAAGGAGGAGAAGAAGATCAGAGACGAGGAGAAGCGCACGAGAATAAAGAATGAGAAGGCTTTAGAAAAGGAAAAGAAGGTGGAAGAGAAACGGCTTAAGAAAGCCGCTGAAGAAGAGAAGATGGCTGGGCCAGCTGAAACTGTCGATGACATAATCAAGAGTCTGTTCCAAAAGGTAAGTGCTACAGCACAACGATCGCAGAATCCAATAACACATCACTAACACTTGTAGCAGGACGTTCTATATCTTCTTATTGTCAATCTTCCATCGCAACAGAAGAACCACGACGCGGCTGTCGAAGACACTCCGGCCGTCTGAGTCGAGAAAGGGTGCCTCGAAATGATCCCGCTATGTGTTCAACGTCATCGCTTCGAACAAATACAATCGTGTAGTCATGTTTAATTGCATGGAAAGGCTTATCACTAGACTTCAGAATATAGAATTACCCCGGGCATCCCTTTTGCGTATTGAGACCACGTCCAAGCCACGCCAGGCCAGTACTTAAACCACGCCGACATCTTCTGGGGGCTTTCCGGGACAAACAAGGTGTCGTCCTCTTGTCGCTTCTCTTCAATAGTCGTCGGCAAGGCCCATGCCAGAAAATGGCTTCTCCTTGGCCCAAGAGGGAGCACCCTGGTTTGGTCAGCATAATCTTGATGCCAAGGCAAAAAGATAAGATACTCACATTGCATTGCCCAGAATCCCATGGCAAATGCAAGGGTCCTTGCGTAACAAGCCCGTATTCCATACTGCCTGTTGTCCGCGTTCAATGGCTTCATTCATGATGTCGTGCATATCCGGGAATAGGCGGCGGATGTGCAATAGAGAGTCGACAAACCCCGGAGCACCATGACAAAATTGAACAAGACCTTCGTATCGAATATCATCGTCATCTTTGGTGGTCCAGTTGCCATCTTCCCGCTGGAGACTTAGCAGTCGTCTCAGAGAACTTTTGATCATCGAGTTGCTAGCAAGTTTCGGGTCTGTCAACAGGAGCTGGGTCAAAATGCCAATGTCTCCGTGCACGGCGCCGATGTAGCGCTTGCCCCGAAAGACCCACGCGGGCCCAGCGCCGAGAGTCTTCTCCACCATCCGGGCTTTGACGAGAGTCAGAGAGGATGCGACTTCAGGTCTCTGTCTTCAGGTCAGTTGAAAGATCTCGGCGTCTGCGGAACCTTTACTTAGTTACCCATGATTCAACCGCGCGGATCATGTACAGCAGCCCAACGTAGCCAAACAGTAGCTCGAAGGGATGATCTTCAGCAACGAGTCGGTCAAGCTCACTGCAAAACGCGGGAGCATTGGCCTCGTCCACCATTGTCTTAACAGCCAAGAGTGCAACGCTCTCGCAAGCTAGACCGCAAGGGGCGGAGTTCTCTCCGGGACGCTTCGCCGATGCATAGAGACTTGCCCAGTGGCTGAGCAACTGATCTTGCACTTGCATCGATGGATATTGGGCGCTGAGCTTCAGTAGCAAAAAGGCGAGAGATGTAGGGCCCCGAAAAAGACCACGACATTGGTCGTTCGAGTATTCAGCCAGTGGCGGCGTGTCGACGAGTACATGCGTTAGCGCTTCATGAATGAGAGCTTCTGGATCACCCGAGAACGTGAGATACTCTGGTTCTTTGACGTTGTTCGGGATGAACCGAGATTCAGGTGGGATAGGAACAGCCATATCGGTTGCCCAGATCTTCCAGGCATAGAGTCGTCGTGATTGATGCTTTGCTGGTTTGATGCCCTGCGCTGACGAGTTGGTGTTCAGATGCGGGGAAAAAGTAGCAATCTTATCTGAACTGCCATCTTTGGCTGGCATACGACGGGATTATTCATCATGATGCACTGGCGGGCAGGCAGCTTAAGCACCATCTATTCACCACGCCCTGGCCGATCGGCCGTTGCGCAATGTAACAAGGTTTCTGGACTGCGTTAACCCAGAGAATTTAGGCTAGAGCGCGAGGAAGAATCGGCTGGTACGAAGCAGATTATTCATCACGACAAAAGTGCGATAATGGCCGCATTAGCGTTATGTAAGCAACCACTATTCCTCGAACATGAATGAATGCCTGCCGTACCGCACTCTTCAAGTCATTGTGTCATTGGATACAATCTTCAACAGAACCTGTTTAGTCTGTTCTTCCACGACTGGGCTTGTTCTGAAAGTGATTTTATCCGCATATTTCCTTGCATTACACGTCATTAGCGAACGTCCGTGAGGCTATCTGGAACTTTGTGGACAGGCCACCATAGAGGTAGGCAGTCGAAGCGATTGGGCGCCCTGAAATTTGGTTGGTTTGGGATAGTTGCTGATTGCTGACGTGGTCCTCATAATCTGCCTCGCCGTATGATTGCTCACATCTGGTAAAGCCAAGTGAGCCTCACGCCTGACCTAGCCTTGCCCGTGTGCGTGTGCTGGGAAATAAAGATATCAGTATTTAAATACATTATCTGAATCATACACCCATCCTACGGTGTACGCCTTTTTAATTATGATCAACTTCGCTTTCGTGACCAAGACGTCTCGTTCCTAGATCACAAAGGAAACTTTTAATTGTCGCATCGTTTGAGATCATACTGTCGGCTGCTGGCTGCAACACACATCTCCTATAGCCGTTAGGAATTATTCTAACAGAGTCTTACCCGCTACAGTCTTTCTAGATGACTGCATCGCTATGGGGAGGATAAACACTGGCTCCATGGGATCTGATCGCGCGGTTCACGAACATTCCGAGAATGAACCCTCACCAGCGTGGAAGCAAATGGAAGCGGCTGATTCAAGCGTCAGTGATAATACGTCGTAACCTCACGTGGTTGGTGTATAGGCGCTGACCTACCTAAAGGGATACTGGGTATCCAAAGATACAGGTGCCAACGTAAAACGGATGTAAGACTGCTTTTCATTGAAATCTTTTCTTCAACGTCGGCTCATCGTGAATAGCACCGTCTCAAACCCAACCCAAAATGTGGCTGGAGTTTTGATTTCCAATGAGCCTTCACTGGACGCTGCTTCCACATCTCGACTTTTCCAGAATCATTTCAAAGGGGGGAACTTCTTAGGAATCTGGGATGTGACTGTAAGTATTGTAGTCTTTGTTACGCGAGTCACAAACTTTCTAGCTGCGGAAGCCACACATTAACCCATCTCTATTTCAATCAGAATGGCGACGCGAATGTCGTACTTGACATGCATATTGTATTTGTCAGACTTCATAACTTAGAGCATCCATCTCCGAAAACGGCTCCTACATCAGGTTCTGTCGCAAGCCCTGCATCAGAATTCATCACTCAAAGACCCGACGACTATCAACTATCCATCCAGATAATATGTCATTCCGATGGTTCATTTACTACTATCATCCTTCTAGATGAGCTTTCCGATGCATCGGGTCCAGAATCCATATTCCATCACGTCTTCGACACCGATCTTCGATCATTGACAACAGCCGATTCGAGTACCACCAGACTCAGCAAATGTCTTGAAATACTTAACTTGCATGTCGGACAAGTCGCGTCCGAGTGGGAGAGTGTTTATTCGCAATTCTCTCAAGCAACCACTCAGCTGGTAAGGGCCTCTCATGTTCTATCAATACGGGCAGAGACATTGCTTCCTGAGCTCCTGCCCAACTGTTCATGTCTATGCTAAACTTAAGTGCAATGACTGATGCGAAAATCTTTGCCTAGCTCTACAACAATGCTGTGATTGTTGAGAGTCCGAGTGACGTTTTTCTCGCTCAAAGACGAGGTCTGGAAGCCCGAAGATTGACGTCAATGCTCATAATCAAACTTGATCGCATAGTCGAGGCGCTTCGTTCTTCCAGACTCGACAGCCGGCTGGACACGCCTGACTTCAAAGCTTCAGGGCGTTCGGTCAATGAATTTGAGTGGAGCCCTTGGTACGGAACCTTTGAGAAACTGCTTCGGGTTTTGATGCAGTTAAGATCTCTAGAAACGAAAATCGAAAACCATAATTGTGAAGTAAGTAGCGAGACGGGTGTATTCTGATGAATAGACTCAGATACCTACCGTCGCTGAAGTCTCTGGATGCTTCTTTTGATTAACCTTCAATATCAGGTTTCACTGCGTCATCTCTCCGAACATCGAAAGCGGGAAGCGAACGAGAGGGTTAGAGAATCTCTTCACAATGGAATCTCATCCTCGAGACAAATTAGGCTACAACATTTGAATGTCACCATTGTAGGTTGACTCAAAATCCATACATCTTACTCCTTACATTATAATTGTGTTGACTATTGTGGCTGTGGGTGTCTCTAGCTCCGAGTACTGTCGCCGATGGTTCTCTCCGCTTCCATGATACAAGCTGGGATGACTTTTGGGAGTTCTATGTTCTCATTTGTTGTTCTCTCCGTGTTAATCGCTGCCATCACCGCAAGTCTTGAGTCCCCAATTCGGAGATATCATGCCTTTACGAAGACTTTAGCAAAGTCCAATGCTGCCGGAAACAAACTCGCACCGCACATTTTTCAGAGAGACGAGACTGTTTTCAATAAATACATGGACCCAAAGGGTGGGTTCAATGACTCGCCGCATCACAAGACAGTCTACACTAAGCCTTGTAAGTCTTCTTTGAGAAAGGTAATTACGTGAACAATTGTAAGTTGACCGGAGGCACTAGTGTCGAATGTTATGCAACAATCGCCTCCGTCCCGTCGACTTACCTTAGCAAGCCAGCTCATGGTCTCAGCCAGGCAATTTTGTGCCAGTCGACGGTGCATTAGTTTGGGTACATGCTTTCAAATGCTCATGCCCAGCCAACCGGTAGCACCAGGTCACGTCCTAGTCTGCTGGAAATGCGTGCGTAACTAGCCCCTTTACTGCCATGTTAAGACACAAGGAATCTAAACATTCCCAATGACGCAGAAATGCGGAGAGAAACTGAAAATACAAGTTGAAACGTCTCATCAATCCGTCGCAGTTGAATTTGCTCGAAAGGCATCTGGGGGTGAAGTTGTCGTTCTCCCGGCCACAGATTTGGCTAATACTACGAGCTCTACTCCTGAACTTTCTGCAAGCGAACCCACCGCATCTGAGCCTTCGAACTCTGGAGACAACCGATCAATCTCCTCTGCGCCGACCACCGCGGACAAACAAGACTCAACTGACCAGTTCACAGCCACCGACGGTGTCAAAAAGTACATGTTGCTTTGCGTGAACAGTCACAAATACGTTATTCTTCTGGAAAACGTTGATGTCACGACTGTCCATTCAGACGAAGATCTATTCAACAAACTCAGGTCAGCATATAATAGGCATCGCGGGGATCCTCTATTTCGGCCATCTACGGATGACAGGAGCTTCATGGGTCTGCTTCGCGCGGTGTGCCGCAACATCAGGTCGAAGAATGTGAGAAATCCTTTTTACAGAGCAAGCAAAATGCAATACATCAAGGTAAAACCTCAAATCTGCCCACAAGTATCATGTGACTTCTAAAATTGCTTTCTAGCTTCAGGTATTCCCTCTCAAGCACGAGCAAGATCGTGTTGGCGGGTACACTGTCGACTCTATTCCATCAAAAGAGGAAGCGCATCGGTATAAGTATGCATTCAGTCCTTGCCCTCCGAAATTTGGGAGGTTTCCATTCCCTCCCGACCACTTTATGCACGCGTTCCTCAAACCTGGGGACCACTTTGAGTCCCGGTATTTAGCAGCACAAATGTTGCCGAAAAAGCTCCATCAAAAGTTATCCTGGAGCGACTCCGTCAATGACCCGGATAACGTACCCGAAGGCTGGGGCTTCTACATCGAGGAGGACATTGATCGGGCCTTCGTCGCTTTACTAGCCACGATTTTTGCAGCGCTCATAGCCCTCGTGGCGATCCTCTGGTCTTGCATCAAAGGTGATGTTCAAGGTGGCATGGGAATCGGTGGATTTGGTGTTGGACTTTTGGCGATATCATTTACCATCTTCATGATGGTGGTTTTCGGTTTTCACTGCTGAGTACTTTCGGTTTGCAAACGTGCGCCGTCGACTCAGGTGTCATGTTTATGTGGGCTCCAATCCTCCACCCGGCCAGTTCGTCTGAATCTGATTTGTTGGCGTCAAGAAATGGAATCCTAGTTTCATCCCCCTTTTCCATCTGAATTGATCTCTCCCTTTGTTGCATTCAAGATCCAGTCAATCGGTCCCAGAACGTCGAAAACTCCACCAATTGCTGCATGTTTTCTTTTCAATTTGCGGTTCCGCCAGGGGCCATGGTGGGTTTCTTGGTTGTTTACAGCGCAAGCCGTGGTGCCGCAAGTTAATTGTATCAGGGGCTCAATTGGCGGCAATTGCCCTGCCATTTGTGGAGAAATCACCGGGAATAGAGGGTGGCACGCGTATGCGATGAATTAAACAACGGCGGAGGAACAGTTCCTGTCGATCCATCTGCCGCCTTTAATCTCTACCCGCGAAACACGTCCCAATCGGGCGCTAGGAGGTTTGTACATCTGATTCTTTAAAACCGCCTCTTTTTCTGCCCAGGGACGGGAAACCGGCACTCTGCTTTTACGCAATCGTCACTCATCGGCACGTTTTCCGAAACCCAAAAGTCTTGCAATATGTTGTTCACTCAAGCTATCATTGCGGCTCTGGTCACCGGCGTCTGGGGCCACGGCGTCGTCCAGACCCCGGAGCCTCGCACGGTAAGCCCCGGATCCGATCGCCGCATCATACCGGCT